ATTTTGTGAACCAGTGTTGGAAAATATCCCTAAAAATCCAGCTCTCAAGGTATTCTGCTGTTTCTAAATCTTACCTCTGTTCTTACCAAGTTATTGTGGTTCATGAAAAAAATATTGTCCAGCAGAACTTATTAAAGGAACAGCCCATCAGATGTTGTGTAATCATTGACAGCAAATGAGACAAATAAGTTGTCACTCTTTTCACCCACTTGGCAGATCCTTGGGTATTTACTTATACATGCATCAGGACACTGATTCTGAGTGTTCTCTGCTCGCTGAAATTAGTGATAAAATGTTGCAGAAAAACCCTTGAAATATAATAAATATATTCATCCTGTGGACCTGTTAACCTAAAAAAATCTTAGAGTTTGAATATTATAAACATTAGAAATATTTGGCATTATTTAGAGTTATAACATTGCCTAATAGAACTTCTATATGATGCAAGCAAAATCACTTTCTGCCTTGTGCAATAGGCTGCTCTCTGACTAGAATCTCTACTCTCATTTCTATATATAATTCAAGAGATTGATTTCTGATAGAAGCCTGATTCAATTTAGATATCTCATATTGAAGTCATTAATTTTCTTTCTCTTTTTTTTNTTTTTTTTGGCAGCTGGCCAGTGCAGGAATTGAACCCTGCACCTTGGTGTTATCAACACCATGCTCTAACCAACTGAGCTAACTGGCCAGCCCCATTTAATTTTCTATAAACACTTGGTATGATCTTATACCATGATACAAGTGATAGGAAAAAAATTCAAAATGCTTTAGCTGATACTGAAAAGACAAGAGCTAGGAACGTTAAGACATTTATCGCGGGAACTTTGTTTTTAGAAGAATGAGTTCTGAACTATTGCTATTAGTAAAATAGTAATAATAATAGTATTTGTAGGAGAAAAAGGCCTGCAAACTTTTTTTTAAGTGTTCTAAGAATGTAAGCTTTTAAATGCCACAAGGGAAAATGTTTTTGGTAAATAAAATTAGAGCATAAGCTTTCATGATTTACCTAAGGTTTACAGTAAGCCACATAAAAGATGTGTGATATTCAATGACTAAAAAAGATGTCTGATGCTGAATGACTAAAAAGTAGTTTTGGTTGAAGAGAGTTCTGGTTTGCATGAGGACCCTGATAATGCTGCATTTTCCTTTTCAATGTGCACACTGGCACATTTTTAGCTACTGGGTCCCTTTTTATAATGTACTTCTCTGTTCTGAAATGAATGCTTTTTAAGGGTGCGAGTCCCAAAGTGTAAGCCTATGTGTCAGCCTGAGAAATAAAATGCTCTAGGACTGGCCTGTGCATTCCTTTGGGGTGTGCCTCTCTCCCACAAGGCCCGGCCAGCTGCGATGGGCAGGGAACTCTGCCTCTCTCCAAGTACCTCAACAAGTCCTTGACCTCCCTGTGCCTCATATCCCTCATTTGTGAAATGGGGGTCCTGACTGATTAACTCAAAGATCCCTTCTAGAGCTTAAAATGTTTAACAATGCAGTTAAACAAGAAAAAGTTATTTTGTCTGTTGGTTTGGTTTTGGTTTTTCTGTTGGTTGGTTTTGGTGCATATTGGAATGGAATCTTATAGTTTGGTGGTTATTGTCTAAAATTAGTAAAAAAAATTTTTTTAATTTTTAATTCCATATTAATCTTAAAAATCAGAATTAACTAAGCTTACTGTTTTTAGTGCAAGGAAGTTGTAAATTAATCAATGTCATAAAAAATAAAAAAATAAAAGGAAGTGTGTGAAAATGCTATTTATTTATGGTATTTATATTAGATTAGGAATTTAAATTCAGGTTCTAAATCTGAGTACAAGAATATCCAGTATTTATTAAAACAGACTGGTTTCGATGAAGAATAAATAAAAGAAAAATTTTAAAAAGACTGTTTTATCCAGCAATCAGGCTACCTGCATGGATTCTGGGAAATTGCGAATATCAAACACTGTCATTTGTCACAGAGGCTGGCCTCAGAACTCTTAACTGCATTAACTGTCCACTTCAGGATACTTGAGTGCAAAATGGGTTTTTGTATGTGGCATCAGATCTATGGTGGAATTAAAGACTTCGTGTCTACTCTTTGAATGATGTCTCTAACTAGAATATTTATTAATAAGTTAAAAATGTATAATTTAGTGGGAAAAGACATCCTCAAATGATTCATCTATAACTTGTGATTTTATTTTATTTATTTTTTTGGTGCCATTATTCAGATCAATTTGGTTTTTTGTTTGTTTGTTTGTTTTTAAAAGATGACTGGTAAGGGGATCAGCCATACCTATATGGGATCTGAACCCGTAGCCTTGGTGTTATCAGCACCACACTCTTCCCGAGTGAGCCACGGGCCGGTCCCAACAGAATAACATTTTTTTTTNTTTTTTTTTTCCTTTTTTGTCTTTTTTCATGACCGGTAATGGGATCGCAACCCTCAGTGTCGCGCCTGTACCAGGACCGGCAACGGGATCGCAACCCTCGGTGTCACGCCTGCACCGCGCTCAACCAGTGAGCTGACTGGTCTCTACATGGGATCTACTGAGTGCACCACCGGGCCGGCCCAGAATAACATTTTCTAGATGACAAGAGCATTCAAAATTTTCTTGTAAAAGCAATATAATAACATTAAATAAAAATACTGAAAAAACACTCCATCCCTGTAGTGGCCAACTGCCAAAAAAAACCCAAAAATAAAAAACAAAAAACGATACTGAAAAAAAACACCATTCATAATCCCACCCTCTTAAATATTTTCACTTCTTTATATATCCTTGTAGATCTTCTCCATATGCCTAATACCTATGCACAAGCAGGGGACACTCAACTTTGCTTTCTGGCACCAGCATATTAAAAAACAAGTCACTCTCATTTGACTTGTTTTCATTGGGCAAATAATCCTTAAGTTTTAAAATTCTCAACTTAAACACCAAAGAATGAGGATGCCCAAGATCTCATAGTACTGCAATGAAAACACCCAGAATCCTCTATGGGATGAGATGGAAAATAAGGAAATGAGAGGAAGGGGAAAAAATTAAATAAAGAAAAGGAAAAAAACAGAGAAAAGAAAACAGGCAAATAAACAAAAAAGAGAGGAATGTTTTTCAGACATTTATCTTGTCCTCATGGACACAGGGCTGCAGTGTCTACCTCTGGTCATTTCCTAAGAGCCAGAAGAAACCGTGTTTGAAATCTGAGTTCAATCTGTGTTGAGTACAGCCAAAGATCTTTCATGTGGATAACTATTCTTCCTGAATTCCATCCTGCATTAAAAGCTGAGTGTAATCGTATTGTAGAAAAGCATCTGGAGATATGTAATCCTGGAGTATTTCTGAACATCTCCTTATGTAATGAAATCTGTGAAGGGTAAATATGTTGATCAGGATGTTCACTTCCATATGTATGAAGAAAATTAAGAATTTATTTATTTGTTTTTTTGTTTTGTTTTTTGTAAGAATATTTTTTTATTCACAAATTGATCTGGGGCCGGCCTGTGGCTCACTCGGGAGAGTGCGGTGCTGATAACACCAAGGCCACGGGTTCGGATCTCATATAGGGATAGCCGGTTTGCTCACTGTGTGAGCGTGGTGCTGACAACACCAAGTCAAGGGTTAAGATCTCCTTGCCGGTTATCTTTAAAAAAAAAAAAGAAAGAAAGAAAAAGAAAATGTTATTCTGTTATTAAAAATGTAAATTTTAACAGTCAGGGTCTCAAGTATGAGAAATAATTTCAGAACCTTTCCCAAAAAAGCAAAGCAAAACACTTTGGAATCTTACTCCAGATAATCAGAAATGTGTTTTGCAATGTAGTATCAAGACGGCCTAGGATAGCATTAAGACCATTGACTATGGAATAAGGTAGATCTTATTGAAGAAGTCCCTTAATCTCTCTGACCTCAATTTTCTTATCTTTGTAATGGGAGTAATAATAGGGTGTATGTACTTCATAGAGATTTCTTTTTTCCATAGGGATATTGAGATAATAACTTTTTCTGGACACAGGGCCCAAAATGTTACCTGCCACTGGTAGTTACTTTAAAAGTCCTAAAAATTGGGGCCAGACTGTGGCTCACTCGGGAGAGTGTGGTGCTGTTACCACCAAGGCCACGGGTTCGGATCCCATATAGGGATGGCCG